TCCTCTCTCTTCCTCCTCCACATGTGGCATTTTTGCAAATAACTGTTGAAGTCGATGGAAATACCTGTGTGCAATGCAGTCAATCATGACCACTCCCTCTCTATCCAGTGGCAATTCCTAGGCTGCATCTGTTGTTCTGAGCTTGAGCTTGAGGTGGTATATAGCACTTTAAGCAGCCATGGCTTCCCCCAAAGGATCTTGGGAATTTTAGTTGTTAAGCATGCTGAGAATTGCTAGAAGACCTCTCACAGGCTGAGAGACCCCTCACAGGGTGACAAGCCCCAGAGCTCCCTGCAAAGAGGGATGCCTTGTTAAAACGCTCTGAAAATTGTAGCTCTGTGAGGTGTAAGAGTGCTTTAGAATAATGGTGCGGATGCGACCACATGTCATTTTGTTTTGTTTACCATCCTGCTTTGCTTTTCAGCTTCACAGAGGTATTTGGTTGACAACAGCTGGAGCAAAACGTACCCTTGATCTAGCCCAGGGATGTCCAACAGGTAGATCGTGATCTACTGGTAGATCGCAAGGTGTCCGTGATAGATCGCTGGACCGTCCCCCCACCCAAAAAAGCTCAACAGCTTAACAACAACTTTAGCTCCCTTGAAAGTTGGACATGCCTGATCTAGCCTATGCAATAAGGACAGCCCTATCATTAAGCAAAGTGAGGCAGCCGCCTCAGGCAGCAAATGTTAAGACGGAAGCAGCAAGGGCAGCTCCCACCCTCTCGAGTTGGCAGCCCTACTGTTTTTTTTTTTAAATGATATTTATTAAAGTTTCAAAGAATACAAAAGCAAAAAATAAAAATACAAGAAAATACAAAATACAGAAAAAAGAATAAAATTTTTAAAATATAACAAAAAAAAAGAAAAATAAAGAAAAACATACAAGATAAAAACAGTTAAAAACACGTTAACTTTCCATAGCATATCTTCCTTACCCTTATTTCCCCGGACCTCCTCATACCTCCCTTTTTTGTATTCCAGTTCAGTTTGTTAGTTCAGCAAATCCTTACCATTAAGCTTTTACCCATTTGTAAACCTTTTTCGTATCTCTTAAAGCATTACAGCTGGAAACCACTTAGTTTCTATCCAACATCCTTCTAAGATTCATTAATTTTACAATATTTCTGTAAATAGTCTTTAAATTTCTTCCAGTCTTCTTTCACCGACTCTTCTCCCTGGTCTCGGATTCTGCCAGTCATTTCTGCCAATTCCATGTAGTCAACCGAGTTGGCAGCCCTACTGTGGCAGCGCTTGCACAGGGCTGACCTGAGCTGACTAGCTGTTGTGCCTAGTAGCCTTCTGAAGTGTCACAGACAGTGCCCCTGAGCAAGCAGGCAGAGATAAGCAGGCTTGGCATATGTGCAAAATTTGCTCTGCTCAATGGACACCCACTGACGCAGGGCATCGTTTGAGCAGGCCAACAGGATGGGCATTGAAGAGTTGGAGGACAGAACCGTAGACTCAGCTATACAGCTGCAAATAAAACATTTTAAGTCAGGCACCCCCAAACTCGTCCCTCCAGATGTTTTGGGACTACAGCTCCCATCACCCCTAGCTAACAGGACCAGTGGTCAGGGATGATGGGAATTGTAGTCCCAAAACAACTGGAGGGCCAAGTTTGGGGATGCCTTTTTAAAGTGTTTTAAGTGCAATATACAATATGACACTAGATGGCGATGGTGAGCCTTATGGAAAATTCAGTGTATTTTTTAAAATGTTTTTTAGAAAAAGCATTTTCAGAACGGTTTTTATATGTTTGCGGATTCCACTTGTGTGTGCCACACAACCTGCCCTCAGCTCCCTCAGCTTGCCTGCCAGTCCAGTTGGCTTTTTCAGGCATGATCTTATCCTTTGCACCAAAATATCTTACACTACCCCTGACTCAAAGGCTGTGCATGCACCATAAATGTAAAACACATGACACCCCACCCCACCCCCCAAAATCCTGTAGTTTGTTAAAGATGCTGGGAATGAAAACTCTATGTGGGCTGCACTTCAGTTCCTAGAATGATTTTGGGGGGAAGCCATGTGCTTTAGACGTGTTTTGAACACCACTTAAATAATGAATATTGACAAACCACCGAATTTAAAACACCAACCGCTTTTCATTCTGGTTTCTTTTGGCAATTGTTTTATACGTACATTTGACTGTGGTGTTCAGCAGAAGCTTCTGTAGATCTACGAAAATAAATAAAAACTATAGATCAATATTACAGCATGTATCTTCTGAAGGTTTCCTCATGCAGGTAGCTCCCTCAACAACAAGGAGTTGAGGTTTATTGCAGAAGGCCCAAACCAGTACAGTGGTACCTCAGGTTACAGACGCTTCAGGTTACAAACGCTTCAGGTTACAGACTCCGCTAACCCAGAAATAGTACCTTGGGTTAAGAACTTTGCTTCAGGATGAGAACAGAAATCACGCAGTGGCGGCGCAGCAGCAGCAGCAGGAGGCCCCATTAGCTAAAGTGGCACCTCAGGTTAAGAACAGCTTCAGGATAAGAACGGACCTCCAGAACGAATTAAGTTCTTAACCCGAGGTACCATGGATTTGGCCTTGACTTGTTGCTAAGATCCATTTGGCAGAAACAATCCATGCATCCACATTGTATCACCCCTTCCCTCCCACCCACCTCCTGCTGCAAGGAGGGCTTTGGGGGTTTTTTGTGGTGAAAAATCTGCTGACATTGTTAAAGAAACTGAGAAGAGCTTTTATAGCTTGTGCCGTTCCTGACTTCCAGTTTATAGTCTGGGAACTTCATTTCCACAACAAAAAGGCTAAATCCTTCCCTTGAAATTTGTGGTTGTTTCACGCTGTCCTTAAGTGTTTTGCATCATAATTGCATTTGTGTACTTGGTGGGCCTTTCCATTAGCTCCGGACTATGTGGGGTGCCCCATGGAAAGGACAAATGTGCAACAAGTTACTCTAATTTCTTTTGTAGCCTTGCAATTTGCAAGATTGCAAGGCTTGGGAGAAAATGGAGGTGGGGGGATTGACCTAGTTTACCTAGCTTAAATGGTGGCAAATAAGGAGAGAATTCTACTCTGTTCACCATTTCTGCTTAAGGAGGACTTATTTGCTTAAGTCCCACAGCTATTTGCACTCCCTTGGTTTTTTCTCTCTCTTTTGAGGAGTCACAGGCCAAGTCACACGACCAAACAGCAGCCTGTGGTCCTCTCTGAAGAGGTTATCACACAGAAGATGGAACAAAGGGACAGATTAAGACCTTTAGAGGCCCTAAGCCTAGGTGCCCACGTATAGATCTAATTCAAAATATAACCAATAATAAACAATAAAATAACATTTTGATTTTTGAAATCAAAACAAAACGCACAGGAAGATGGAAAATAATGTTTCTTCCACTTTATTTATATTTGAAAGAAAAAGTTCTCCTGCTTTTTCTAACTGCAAAGTCTTTGATCAGATCCTCCAGACTAATTTTACATTTTTGCTTCTATACGTAGTAGAGATAAGGCATCTAGCCTGCCTTGTAGCATTGTTGTCCGGTTGTTCAGCTGAGCAATCTGCGACCATTAATGTTAAAAATCTGGCAATGGACATTTTCTGTGGGGGACACGCTTCCTTTGATATACGTGCTTATTTTGCCTAATGGTTGATGCAGCCCTGATGGAGTCTGTTGCTCCCAAGGTCAGGTTGGGGACCAATGAGTGGAAATGGCAGGGAAGTAGATTTTGACTAAACAGCAGGGTAAAATTGATTTTATTTATTAATTTAGGGTATTTATAATCTACCCTTTTTCTCTCTGAGGAGCTCAAGGTCGTGTCCATGGTTCTCCCCTTCCAAATGTAATCCTCACAAAAACCCTGGGAGGTAGGTTAGGCTGAGAGGCAGTGAATGGCCCAAGACCACCCAGTGAGCTTCATGGCTGAGTGGGGATTTGAACTCTGGTCTCCCAGGCCCTAGTCTGAAACTCTAACCACTGCACCACACTGTTTTGTTTTTTTTGTTCAAAGCAGTGGTTCCCAAGCACTCATCCACACAGACCACTTGGAAGATAGCTGAGAGTCTCGGTGGCAACTGTAATACACTGTGCTAGATGGTGTATGATTTTGAATTGTAATTTTATTGCTTCTTTTGTTTCTTGTATATTGCATTGCCATCTCAGGCCCACAGAATGGAAATTGTAATGCAATACACTGGTACCTCGGGTTAAGTACTTAATTCATTCCAGAGGTCCGTTCTTAACCTGAAACTGTTCTTAACCTGAAGCACCACTTTAGCTAATGGGGCCTCCCGCTGCCTCCGTGCCGCCAGAGCACGATTTCTGTTCTCATCCTGAAGCAAAGTTCTTAACCTGAGGTAATATTTCTGGGTTAGCGGAGTCTGTAACCTGAAGTGTCTGTAACCTAAAGCGTATGTAACCTGAGGTACCACTGTATGAGAAACGCAAAAAGAGATAAAAACACGATTAATATGAATATTTAATGCTGTAGATGTGGCATCTCCTGTTTTCCACCACAGATGCAACACTGCGGACCACGTGAATGAAGATCATGGACCACTGGTGGTCCATGGATCACCGTGTGGAAATCCCTAGTTTAGAGCAGCCGCCTCATGTGCTTCAGCTTATGTCCAATCAGTTAAAGGGAGTTCCTACCTGCAGGTTTACAGCATAAAAGGAAAAAGGGACAGGGAGGGAAGAGGGGGAAAATGAGAACTTAAGCGGTACTTGTAGAACGGAATTTTACTTTAATAACTTGCATTATTTAATAATTAAACTATGAATAAAAGCTATGATTTAATAGCAACAAAAACACAATCACCAATACCTTTCCTTGTAATTTTGATTATATAGTTTAAATTCTATTACTGTTTAATTTCTTTTCAATGATTTCTCCCGTTCAGTTTTGAGCGGCTCTTAATTTTTATCGGTAAGCTGCCTTGATGAGTCCCGGAAAGCAGAGTAGTAATAAATATATAACAACCACCACCACAGTTATTATTGCATTATTTAATAATGCAACTAAAAACCGTTTCGATGCGCGAAGTGATGTTATTTCTACATTTCTACATTTCCTCCTTCAGGCAGAACCCAGACCGGGCCAGGGGTCGGTTCCCAAGCGTGAGAAACGCCTCTCCTCTCCCCTCTCCTCTCCCACTTTCTTTGGAATGACATCGGGGGTGGGAGGAGGTGAAGATGTTTTGTTTTTTCCCCTGAAGAAAAGGAGCCGCGCTGGCCAGGGGCTAGGAAACAAAAGGCCTGGCCTGGGAGGAGGAGGAGGAGGAGACGAAGAGGAGAGGAGAGCGCTTGTTGCTGGAGTGAGGCTGGCAGCAGAGATCTGCGCTCCATCTCTCCAATTCCCCGCATCCTTGCCCGACGACCGGGCCCGCCTGATGGAGCCCACCAGGGCGAGCGCCGAGCAGGCTGCCTGCGAGGAAGCTTTTTGCAGCTCGCTGCTGGACGACATCAAGCAGAGGCTGCTGCACGCCTTCCGGGGACCGGGGGGAGCCGCCGCGCCCCAGCAGCTGCTGATGCCGTCCAGGCCCGCGGCGCCTTGCAAAGGCAGAGGGGTCGAAGTAGCCCGGGAGGAAGCGCGCAGGGCGCACGTCGAGGGCACTATTGCCTGGCTGCGGGTGGAACTGGTGAGTGATTGGGGGGCGGGTTATTCTAGAGATATTTTATTAGATACTTATTTTTACCCCGCCTTACCCCACCACCTAGGACGCGGGTGGCGCTGTGGGTTAAACCACAGAGCCTAGGACTTGCCGATCAGAAGGTTGGTGGTTCGAATCCCCGCAACGGGGTGAGCTCCCGTTGCTCGGTCTCTGCTCCTGCCAACCTAGCAGTTCGAAAGCACCTCAAAGTGCAAGTAGATAAATAGGTACCACTCTGGCGGGAAAGTAAACGGCTTTTCCGTGTACTGCTCTGGTTCGCCAGAAGCGGCTTAGTCATGCTGGACACATGACACGGAAGCTGCACGCCGGCTTCCTCGGCCAGTAAAGCGAAATGAGCACCGCAACCCCAGAGTCAGCCATGACTGGACCTAATGGTCAGGGATCCCTTGACCTTGACCTTTACCCCACCCGCAGGCGGATTACAGATGAAAACAAGAATTGCAAAAAGCATAGAACTGGAGATTTGGAAGGGACGGGAGGCGGGTTTCCAACTAATCTCAACTAGCTCATATCTGACAGATGGCCACCCAACCATAGATGTCAACCTTCCCCCTTTTTTAAGGGAAATTCCCTTATTCCAAATAGGATTCCTCACAAGTAGAAGGAAAAGTTGACAGCTATGCACGCAAACTCTGCTTGATAACCTCCAAGGAAGGATAGTCCATCACCTCTAGTGGGAGTCTGTTCCGCAGTCAAACAGCTCTTACCATCAGAAAGTTCTTCCTGATGTTCAGTCAGATTCTCCTTCCGTGTGGCTTGAAGCCGTCAGTTTGGAGCAGGAGAAAACAAGTTTGCTCCATCTTCCATGGGACCAGGGTTCAAATCCACGCTTGGCCATGAAGCTCACTGAGTGGCCAGGGGCTGGTCGCTGCCTCTCAGCCTAATCTACCTCGGAGGGTTGGTGTGGGGGTTAAATGAGGAGGAGGAGAACCACGTATGCCACCTTGAGCTCTTTGGAGAGAAAGGAGGGATATAAGTGCAATAAAGGATAACCAGTTTAGGGAGAGGAGGAGCGAAGTGTGCAGATCATAGAAGGTTAGAGCTGCAACTCACCGGTCGACGGACTTGCCTTGATGAGGATCAGGCAGTGTGTATGTTAACAATTGGCGACATTAATGCTGGACATGGAAGAGGAGAGAGTGCTCTCCTGCTTGAATCCTACTTGCAAGTTTTTTTGAATAGTTAATTTCACTGACACAGGTGTTTTTATTGCTGACCTACTCCCAGCTCCAGCTCCCGTCACTCGTTCTCTCCATGTGAGCAGGAGCTCGAAAACGGTGCGGTTACCAATCATAGAACAGAATCCTAGAATTGTGGAGTTTGAAGGGACCCCCCAGAGTCATCTAGTCCAACCCCCAGGTATCTCAGCTGAAGCATCCATGAGAGATAGCCGCCCAATTCCTGCTTTTAAAAATAATAATCAGCCAGAACTTGCCATTGTCCATATGTAGAAGCCATGCAGATAGATGATCATCCGAACATCTGCAGACGACAGCTGGGTGGCGCTGATGGGAGTTGTAGTCCAAAATATTTGCATCAGTTTGGCAAATGTTAGCATGGGGCTTCTGTTGCTCCGTAATGAGGAAAATCCGTCCTGCCCCGATCAGGAGCCCCCCCTTTTTTTAACCTACTCCAACTACATGCAGTTCAGGAATGGATTTGGACACTGACAGAATGCCAGGGCTAAGCGCTGGCACTAATTAAGCCCTTCTGGATGGTGATCGCCTGCTAAAAAGTAATTATCGTCTTTCTGTTCTTTGCAGTTGGAGATGAAGTCCCAGAACCACAAGCTTGCCAAAACTTTGCTGGATTTAAGCATGGAAATACAGAGGCTGAGAAACGAAGCTGACGTGCCAACTGCTCTAGAATCAAAGGCCCTGAGCTTTGCTGCAAGCTCAGAATAACGGAGCTGCTGCGTTTCAGGGAGAAAGCCAGAAGACGCAGCACACAATCCCACCGGCGAGCCTGGCAAAATTGGAAGATTATGTTGCACCGTTAGGTCCGAATTGGTCAGGGAACATGGCTTGAATATTAATGAGAACTCCCGTTAACTTGGCTGGAGAAGGAATGTTAGTTATTATATGAGAATTCAATGCCTCCTTTGGAGTAGAGGAAAGAATGGGACACCTCCAAAGAATGGAATGTCTGCTTTACTTTGCAAATGATTGCTGACTGTTTAATCTGTTTAGTTCAGAACAATCGCCACTCGTCAGGTCACTAAAAAGATGGGAGGGCAACACACACACACACACACACACACTGAAATGCAGTGGTTTGGCAGTTATCTGGATCCTCCATTACAAAAGAGTGAATGAACGATGTCTGTTCCAGACCAAACATTCAGGGCAGTCCCAGATTGCCACTACTAACTTTAGTGGGATTCAGGCACATGCCGACAAATTCAGGTTGTGCAATCCTAGACGGTTTAGCACTCTTGTGCAACAAGCCTACTTCTCCTGCAAAAGACTGAACCGCCTGCAATAAGGAAAGTGATGGGGGGAAATGCACAGAGAAGCGTGGGGTCACATTGGCTCGATGCAATGCCGTCTGAGCTCCCTGAAAGCAAATGTTCAATAAATAGCTGACATTGTTTAATATCCCTGCAAACTTTATGCAAGCAAATTGGGTTGAATGGTTAAAAAAAAGGATTATCTGGAGTGATCTCACTGTGAACTTTCTGAGTCTCTGGGTTTTTTTTTCTTTCCAAAAGGCAAAATGTAGCCAGGGGAGTATGAAGCCAATGAAGCCCCCCCCCCTAATTTTTTATTAGTTTTCAAACAATTCAACAAATTTAATTCAGTTTCAGTACACTATTCCCACTCTGGGTGGCTCCCAACAAAATATTAAAAACACAATAAAATATTAAACACTTCCCTGTACAGGGCTGCCTTCAGATGTCTTCTCAATAAACACAAATGTGTGTCTTTGACTCCGTGTCTGGCAAAAGCACACATGAAAGTGGGGTCCTGATTTGACGAGCAAAGGGGGACATGCATGTGGTGTGCTTGTGTAAAACTCCAACTCCCATTGGCCTCCCCACAGCCTGCTCCTGACATCACTGTCCCCATCAGCTGAGATCTGACAGCAGCTGAACTGGTGAGGGCCATAGCTTAGTGGTGGAGCACGTATCCTGCATGCGGAAGGTCCCAGGTTCAATCCCCGGTGTCTCCAGGTAGGACTGCCTGAATCCCTGCAGAACCACTGCCAGTCAGTGTCTACAGTACTGAGCTAGGTGGGCGTGGTTGGGATAACGCTTATGGTCCAGTTAAAAAATTGCAGGGGGAGATGTGAGTGGTTTAAATCACAAAACCATGGAGTTGGAAGGAATCCTTTGCCCAGCACAGAACTTGAACCCATGACCCTGAGATTAATAAGTCTCATGCTCTGCCAACTAAGCTATCACAGCTTATGAGTGTCAGGCCTAATGAGCAGAGCAGCTCATTCCCAGAGGTCCTAACCCCATGAAAATCAGTTGCCAAGAATGAAAGTCCTTGCCTCCTTTACAGCCATCTAAGTCCCATCCTCTCCAGGGTGTTTTCCAAGCGATCAGAAACTGTGCCTGCTTGCAGCCAACTTCTCCTCCGCCCTTTTCACACCTCTCCTGGTTCTGGGAGACAGGGGGAAGGGGAGATTGTCACAGAGGGAGACACCCTGGCTTCTTCACCAGCCTCTCCTGATTCTGAACTTCTCTCTGCCACAGACTCTCCCTGCCCACTAAACCCTGTTACCTCTTCAGCTTCCAACACCTCCTCCTCCCAGTCTCCTCTCTCTTCTCCTTGTAACCACTCATTGTTGTCGCTCCACCACTCCCCAGGCACTGAGCTAGAGGGCACCTTGATAGAGGCCTCTTCACACCTGGCTACGGCCTCATCCTGCAAATGCCACCAGTAAGATGAAAGGCTGATTCATATGTCTCAATTCACAACTGGCGTGCATTGAAAAACTAATGCAGATGGAGCCCTTAATGAAGAAAATACGAGAAACAGCAGGTAAAAATAGATATATTCCTTCCTTTTCCTTTTTGAAAAAAAAAACAATAAGTGGATATATACAATGACTGTGCCCTCTTTACCCGAAAGGCACCAACTCCTGAAGAAAATTCAGAGACGGCAGCGCGCAAAACCCACAGGGGGGTTGGTGCCGTTTGCCGTGCGTAAACGGTGAAATATGTGCGCAGACAAACTTTTTAATTAAAATAGTTCTCTCACCCTACGGCTGGTGGCAGAAGTAAGGGTGACAAATGACGACATTTGCGACAACAAGCTGTTAGGGTCCTAAACGCCTCGGATTACAAAGCAGCGTTAAATCTCTGCGAAAACGAGCTTACAGTCACCTACACAGGGATTACACATAAGTGATGCTTTAAAAAAATAATTTAAAAATGCTGCCACCAAGCTCAAAAATGCCGTGATTATGAGGCCAGCAAGCCTTGCAGTTACCCATACACTTATACATGCTGGGAGCTTGAAATAATACTGCTTATAAATAATGCAGGCAGTAATCCAGAAATAAGCTTTGCTAGCTAGCCCATTATATCCAGATTTCGTACAATGTGCAAAGTTCACAGGAGACGAGACTGCTTTGCATACCAGTATTTAAGGTATTCCAAGCTGTGTGATGCTTCCAGTGAGTGAAAGGACCAGCTCCACACAGGGCAGGTGTAGCGAACCTTTCTCCATCCAGATGTTGCAGAACTACATCTCCCATCTGCCCCAGCAAGCATGGACAATGGTCAGGGATGATGGGAGTTGTAGCTCAGCAACGTGCCGGCAATCCAAAGGGTCAGATCCAACTAAGTCCTACTCAGAGTTGGTGCACTAAAATTAATGGAGCTAAGCTAGTCGTGAAGGGACGCGGGTGGTGCTGTGGGTTAAACCACAGAGTCTAGGACTTGCTGATCAGAAGGTCAGCGGTTCGAATCCCCGTGACGGGGTGAGCTCCCGTTGCTCGGTCCCTGCTCCTGCCAACCTAGCAGTTCAAAAGCACGTCAAAGTGCAAGTAGATAAATAGGTACCACTCTGGCGGGAAGGTAAACGGCGTTTCTGTGCGCTGCTCTGGTTCGCCAGAAGCGACTTAGTCATGCTGGCCACATGACCCGGAAGCTGTACGCCGGCTCCCTCGGCCAATAAAGCAAGATGAGCTCTGCAACCCCAGAGTCGGTCACGACTGGACCTAATGGTCAGGGGTCCCTTTACCTTTTTAAGCTAGTCGTGAGCATTACTTTTGATGGGTCTACTCTGAGGAGGGCCAGTATTGGGCCAAAATGTCTTGGGCTGGCCCTGAGCAAGCTCATCCCCACCCTGGCTTTCTTTGTTTGCAAAGCAGGTATGTGCAGACTTATATGCAGAACCACACCAGCGTAGTTTATTTACTCTATTTACTCTATCTTTTTTCTCTCTCCCAAAATTATGCCCTCCCAAAAGGGAACCTGAGGCAGCTAACAATTATAATCCCACCCTATACAGAGAACACTTAATGCATCAACTCAGAACAGGATAAAAAGACAACGGTTAATACCTGCAGTATAAAACATCACCCAAACGCCTGACAATTGTTAATATTTGGGTGGGGTATGTGTGTTGCATTCGAGTTCCCCAGAGACTTTCCCCATATAAATAGAAGAAATGAAATAAAGAAATTGATTAATAAAATGTTGTGAGGATGGTGATTTGGGAAAATCGAAAAAGAAGGGAGCAGTCTAGTAGACCCACTGAAATTAATAGGCACAACTAACTTAGGTTTATTGATTTCAGTGGGTCTACTCTGCATAGGGCTTAGTTGGCTCCAGCTCAGAATCTTCTGAAGTAGCCAACATTTCCAAGGTTCATCCTTCTGAACAGCAGGCATGCTGCCCATCAATTTGATTGGCAGGACAGCATTGGCAGGAGAGGGACCAGAAAGCTATAACGATCTCTACTTCAGCAGAGCTGTAAAAACCAAGCCAGAATTTATGGCACCACTGAAATATTTCTGTCTGCTGCTGTGGAGGTTATTAACTAAAAACAATTCCTCACTGGAGATTTATTTGGCTAAAAACGCGCTGAAATTATTTGCATCAATGAACTGCAATGTCGGTAAAGTTCAGCATAAATACTACAGGAGGGAATTCAAAACTGAGACAGCCAACTAGCTAGACGAAATGCTTCTCTTTCTTAATATATTGCTTTTTTAAAAAAATCCACCCAGAAATAGAATTTAAATCTTATAGAAGCACACACATTCTCCACACAGACACACCTTGATTCTGAACACAGCAGCACAGCTCAGCCACGTGATTTTAACATTCTCTTTCTCTCTCGCACACAAATGCTAATTAACCCAACATACCACTTTGCAAAGAAGCAAACTATAATTTCCCATTATATTGTCTTCATTCAGAAATATATATAACTTTCTTCAAACTCCTGCAATAAATAAATACTATTCACAACAGTCATTCTAATGACCTTGCTTCCTAAGGCCCCTGTTGACATTTTTCATGATCTTTTAGACACGATGATTTGCGCTCATGATGACATTGAGCTGGTTAAACACAGGCCCACTTTTGATGTGGTTTGCACCGGTCACATTTATGTTCCTACAATACTTGTTTCCTTCTTTCTGCTTTCATTGCACTATAGCGCAAGAGGGCCCCTCCAGACGCCATAATGCAACAACACTGGGGAAACTAATGAAACAGAATGATGTGCGGACACTCCAATAGCAAACCACCACCAATGCACTATTACCAGTGCCACATTCACACCGTACTTTTAAAGTACTATGACACCACCTTGAACAGTCATGGCTTCCCCCAAATCATCATGGGAGCTGCAGTTTGTTACGGGTGCAGAGAGTTGTTTGGAGAACCCTATTCCCCTTCTAGATTTACAGTCCCTAGAGTCCCCTGGTGTGGGATGTGAAACACAAGAGCAATCAAGTACAACATTCCTAGAGTGAACATGTTTACACATGAGGAGGAATGTTTGTCCTGCCAGCAGGTAAACTTCCTGTTTCCTTCTGAGCTGGGACAGGCTTCCTCTACATGTGACTAGAGGCGGGCGTGGCCTCACCTGTGCAGGTAACGACAAAAGCACAGGGCAGGGCAGCCATCTCTCTCTCTCTTGACTACATGCATCAAAGAAGCAACATCTGCTTAGGCAAAGATGCTCTCTTGGCTCCAGCCAAGAGAGGACAAAGGGACTGTCTTCTTATGGGATAGTTTCTAGGTATATGTAACTTTTGTAAGCTAAGTCTGCCTTCTGGGATCCTATCGTGAACAGAATGATATGTGAGTAAACTTTTTTATATACTTTTATAGAAGACTGTGTCGTGTCTTCTCTTTTATGAGGGAATAAGGGGGAAATACCAGAACAGTTATTACAGAGGCTTTAGCGAGCCTGAGCAAGCACATCTGCTGCAAGTTTAAAAAGGGGAATGTTACTCTGCTAAAATTGTGGAACTTGTTAACACAAGTTGGAAAAGGATATAACCAAACAATATATCCTCTCCTGCATCCCTGAACATTCCCACACCTGGGAAGAGTGATTGCCTGCTAAACCACTCAGGGTATTGAAGCTGTGGGAAAGGACTAGGAGTATCCTAGCAACTCTTAGCTTAGGAGCTTAGGAATCTGCCTTACAGAAAGCTGGACCATGGATCCAGATTGCTCTGTACTATCCACACTGACTGCTAGTGGCTCTCCTGATATTCAGACCAGGGACTCTCCCAGATCTACGTAGAAATGCTAGGGATTGAACCCAATACCTTCTGCATGCAAAGAAGATGCTCTACCACTAAGCTGCAATCCTTCTCATGTACGATGCAAGGAGGGCTCATGGGCAAACCAGAATCCTCCACAGCACGGAGGAGCATGATGCATGGACACCAGTGCCTTAAACATGCTTCCATCAGGGGGTGGGATTGGCCTGTTCAGCCTTGGGTCCCCTCACTCATGCCTTTGATGCGAAGGAGGGTTGCCTGAAGCTCTCTAAAGGCAGGTGGGAAGAGAGGCAAAGGCAACATTGTACACAACCAGAGTAGGTCCCTTTCAGCTCAATGCTGTCTATTTTCAAGAGTAAGTCTCAAATCAGGCATAGGCAAACTCGGCCCTCCAGATGTTTTGGGACTACAACTCCCATCATCCCTAACTAACAGGACCAGCGGTCAGGGATGATGGGAGTTGTAGTCCCAAAACATCTGGAGGGCCGAGTTAGCCTATGCCTGTCTCAAATGAATTCAGAGGGCCTTGCATCTGAGTAAGAAGGTGCAGGATTGCAGCTTTAATTGCTCCAACTCATGGATATACAGCAGAGGAGTCTGTGTAGCTACTCAGTGAGGTGACTTGCATGGTCAGAGAAACCTACTTGGATGCATAAGTTTTCATAAGGCCCTGGTGTGTCTTTATTGACCTGTAGGGTCAGCTGAGCCAACTATCTTCAGGCACAGGCATAACTGCAGTCCAGAGGCTACTCTGACTGGGTTGCTGAAGGCGGGCAGAGGGCACAGGATGTATGGTGCAAAGGCTAGCTGACCAAGACCTACACTGTGTGCCTTGACAGGACCTTGGTACCCTCTATATCAGTCCTGTTTCTCCTCAGGCCTCAGATATCAAGGGGCTGACAGCATTGCAATTCTCCAGCTCTGTCTCATACTCTGCTACCACCACCAAAGGCAGAGCCACAAGACCAGTCTCCAGTTGCCAGTCCAACCACCGGGTCGTTGCCCCATCCAGGTTCTGTTGCTGAGCAAGCAGGGGCTAGGAGTCTCTGAGGAACTCTTGCCTGAGAGCAGAATACACATACAAAGTCAGACAGCCCAGAGGTCAGGGAATCCAGATGGAGAGCAGGAAATAGTAAGGTGGAGCCAGGAAACACAGGCATTGTTTCCATCATCTGACTGCTGCTGAGAGCTCTGTTTAAGAAGGCCAGAGCCAGCTGCTTCTTATCCGCTCCTTCTCCTCTGGGAGGGCCGATCAGCTGCAGGTGGGGTCACTCTGCCTTCTCCCCCTTCAGACTGCTATTCAACAGGCGAAGCTGACTCATTGCCTTTCAAAGTAGGTGCTACAAACTGTGCATGGTCTCATGGTCTCACATGGGGCCATCCAGGGCCCTGAGAGGCACTTCTCCTTATGTGTGGCCACATTGCCGTGGCAACGTGGCAGCCATTCATGGTCACCTTCCTGCTCCTCGGTGCCCATTAAGGGGCTGACAGTCACGGCCAGCAAATCTCCTAATTGTCCCTCTTGCCCATTATTGATGGAAGAAGGAAGGGGCTGCCTTCGTTGTTTTCACTGTCCAACACCAGCTTTGCAATAAGATTCAACTTCCAGTTCAGTAGACCACTGTATGTGGAATGGAGGCAGCCACCATCTTGTCCTTTGCTTCCAGCATATCTAGGCCCAGGCCCTAAGGAATATAATAAGCAAACAATAAAAAAAAAACAGTCAAAGCTATTAATTAGGAATGTCAAAACTTGATGATCCTGAGGGTATTTTCACTGTATGCCTTTCTTTATTAGGTAAGGATATAAGCACTTCGCTTCTGCTAATCAAATCTATAATTTAGTATATTTGGATGATAAGGTACAAAAACATTAATTTTTACAAGGCTGGCTCATTATTTTAAAAACGTTTCCCCTCTCCCCTCGTATTGCTTCATCAGCGAAATGTGTAGATGCTAGATTATGTTCACTTCGTTGTTCGGGTGGTGAAGGATTGTAAATACTGCCGGTATTAAAAACAAAGCCATAAAAATACATTTAATTGTTTGTTTCTAAATCTTGCTTGACAATATGGCTCTCTGTACAGGAATTCAGATTGTGTCAGCTTTCCCATTATACACCCTTAAAAAAAATAAAATTTAAAAAAAAGTTTAGCTATCAGCCATAAACTTTTACTCCCAGCTGAAACTTATCAAGTCTTTGCTTGAGAATTTCTTGTTTTATGTTACAGGATGTTGCAGAGCTTGTACTCTCTATGTCATGGGTGAGGAAGCTGGGGCCTTTCAGGACTACAAATCCCATCATCCCTGTCTCTTGGCCATGCTGGCTGGGGTTGATAGGAGTTGAAATGGAAGGTTCCCAACTCTGCTTTACTTTTCCAATTCCCCCAACGTAAGGGTGACTACCAGCAGTACGGTAGCTTAAACTGCACCAATTTGGACAATTGCAGCCCACCCTCAGTTGACTGTTAGTTTGCATGCTTTCAGAAGAAGCCTGAACCAATTGCAATGACACAACCCCCTTCTTAACAGGCATTGGTTGGGGAAAACCAGCCAGATGGGGGGAGTATAAATAATAATAATAATAATAATAATAATAATAATAATAATAATCCTACCTTATTGTTCAGCACCTAGAAACTGCAGTGTTAAGTGGTGTAAAAAATGATTAAATAAATATATATAAACTTGATAAACCCCTTCATGGATCACTGCCTTGCCGTGGCGAAGGGGCTTGAATAACTCAGAGAAGCTATGAGCTATGCCGTGCAGGGCCACCCAAGATGGACAGGTCATAGTGGAGAGTTTTGACCAAACGTGATCCACCTGGAGCAGGAACCGGCAACTCACTCCAGTATCCCTGCCAAGAAAACTCCATGGACTGGTCCATGGGGTCACGAAGAGTCGGACACGACTAAACGACTAAACAACAACAACAACAAAAACTTGATAAAAAGGATGACAGGTTTCTTCCTGCATACCTAAAAGGGCTGATTCAAAAATGTTGTGGGGATCGCTTTATCTCTCACTATTCAATTCCCCAATCTTGGAGTCCGGTTCAGACTGATGACTATTCTATCAGTAGTTCAATGAAAACTGTACTCATTGAGAGTTCTTAGGAGATTCCCTTGCAATTCTCATCACCCTTAACCAACTACGGTTTCCTAGATTCCCTGAGGAAAGCCATGACTACCAGAGTGGCACAAGAGTGCTTTAGTGTACAGTAGTTGTAACCCAAGTCTCATCAGCTTCCTGCTTGTGGTTAATGGGAGTTATAGTCGAAAACTTCTTGCCTGGAACGTGCAGCTGGTAGTCGGAAGTGAAACAGCAGTCACAGGAGAGGAGGGAAGAGCCTATGATATGTATGACGGGCACTTGCCCGAATGTTTTACACAGCTGCATATTTAGCAACCTGCCATATTTATCTTTCTGAAGAAATTCAATTAAATGGGTGCATGTGTTACACAAATTGCTACATTTGCTTCACTTCTGTTCCTGTCCTCTATCCAAATACGGCACACTGTCATATTTCAGAAAGAGGCCTTTTTTTGCAAGATTTGCTGGAAGGTAATCATTGAAATGATTTTTTTATAAAGCATTTGGGGTTCTCTAGAGATACACAGAATTGTTTTTGATTTTTTAAAAAAGAAGAATGTGCACCATTATTCCCCTTGCCATATGTGTCTGCACAGATAACAGCACCTTTTGCTCAGCTCTCAGAATTAAAGGCATTGCTTGCTTGGGAAATTTTGCAGTTATTTCATGTATCGAACATCCTATGAAAGGAACCAGCAGCACTCCTTCTCAGCTTTGGGAATAGACCTTTGGCTGTGGAATCACCCAAAGCTGAAAAGATTTGGTATGAAGACATGACAGTGAGCCAGTGTGGTGTAGTGGTTAAGAGCGATAGACTTGTAATCTGGGGAACCGGGTTCGTGTCTCCGCTCCTCCACATGCAGCTGCTGGGTGACCTTGGGCCAGTCACACTTCTTTGAAGTCTCTTAGCCTCACTCACCTCACAGAGTGTTTGTTGTGGGGGAGGAAGGGAAAGGAGAATGTTAGCCACTTTGAGACTCCTTAGGGTAGTGATAAAGTGGGATATCAAATCCAAACTCTTCAGTGGAGAATGAGTGGCTCACACATCGTCTTTCAAGCTCTTCTGTCCAGATAGGAGAGCTGTTTCTGCCTGTCGGTGGCATTTAAAGTCTACTCAGGATTGATCTAGAGTAGAGTAAAAATTTAAACACGTTGCAGGATGCCCAAAAATTAGACCAGAGGCAATTAATATTTCTTTTTTTTTTTAATGATATTTATTGAAAATTTTTTTAGAATTACAAAAGAAAACAAAGTAGAAAAAGAGAAAGAAAAAACAAAGAAAAAACAAACCACATCAAACAATACAAATTAATCAAAATCAAAATCAAAAAATATACCACAAACATTTAAAAACAAATCCAATATTCTCAAATCCTTAACTGTCATTACCTTCTTTCTTTGACCTCCTCCTCCTCCCTTTTTTTGTATCCTAGTTGTTAATTGTCGCAGCAAATCCTTTCCATATTTCATAATATTCTGTCATTACATTACCTTAATCTATTTTAATCTTATCTTACTATAAAAAAACCTTAAAACTTAAAACTTAAATCTTATTTTTACCAATTTCTCATAACCATAATATTCTTACATAATTCTTTAAATATTTTTGCTAAAGCCAAATAATTTCGTTCCAACATTTTTCTAACATTCATCAATTTTATAAAAGAATCCTAATAAAAATATAAAAAAGCAATCCAATCTTCATCCAGCGTCTCTTCCTCCTGATCCCAGGTTTTGTCAGTCCTCTCTATCCCATCAGTCTAGCGCATTAACCTGGTAATCTTATATCCGAGGCCCTTAAGTCCCTTCCATGTCCCTTCCGCGGCTCTTCTTCATATTTATAGCTGTATTTTCCTTTGTCTCCTGCTCCTTTCACTCGTGGGAACTCCAGCTTAACAATGTTTTTGACCCTTCTCGACAAATCAGCCCCTTTTCCATAGTCCACACTAAACTCCATGTGGTATTTAAGAACATGTTTCAAAGTCCCTCCAAAT